AATACTGACTTGTAAATTGCCTGATCCCGCAAGTCATTCTGTAGGCCACATTGGATCCAGTGCGTCACTAGGGTTCCAATCGGAAATAGAATGCAATTATTATATTTATTATTATTATTCTGTTATTATTATTGATTCCTAAGGGATCGATCAACGGCGAGATTTTCATCCTTCGTCCTTCTACGGTAACGGAGTGGGTGGTTAAGAACCAGGGACTCGTTTCTACAATAATGTGGAGGAAGTCAGCTGGACGATCGTCGGTTGTAAGTCGAACAGGATGAATCCTGACTTTTACAGTACTCATTTTCGTCGCTCCAGTAATCGAGAAAAACACGGCTTCGCGTTTTTCTTTCATTGGGGGGGAGGGAGATCACTAAGATGCACCTTGAAGATAATTCCAGTACATGATAATGTGTAGCTCTAACGATAAGAATGCGTAACTTGCACCATATTACTGTAGCTCACCTTACGATCTGATAGAAGCATCATTTGCCCTTTCAATTGTAGACGATGTCCATAATACGGTGCACTATTAGAGTCGCCACTAAATCGTCGTATATGATCGATATATCGACTTTTTCGGGAACAGATTGATCTCTAGGCGATTGACTCGCTTTAGTTGGTTACGTGACAGCTAGAGCTTTTGGTGGGGAGTGTTAGCACGAAAGGCCAGAGCGTATAGAAATAGAGGACTGCTGCTGCCAAGGCATCGGAAACTGCAAAGGACATATCACGAGCCAGAGAATGTTCTTTTCTTCAGGGAGAGGGAACTGGGGGTGGATGAGCTAACCGTGTACGAAAAGTAGGAATTTGTGAGGTCATAATGGTCATAGAATGCCACAAGAACGCAGAGAAAAATAGAAAGTGATCCACCCCGGTGTTCCCTTCCATTGAAAATATTCATGTCTTGGCTAGCGACTGATTTTTCGCTACCACCTTTCCGACAGTCGCCACATCATTTGGTTGGGGCATTTTTGTCGAGTGCGCGTAGCGACCGCCCCCCCCACCCCCGGCCCTGCCTGTCGCCGTCCTCCTCGAATGCGCTGCGAATCGAGGGCCGTTGGCGCGGGTGTAAAGTGGTACTGCCATTAAACAGGGCAATACAGGGAAAACTGTGCGACGAAAAACTGCACCTCACGCATCAGCTCTCCCAGAAGACCAGAAAGTAGAATACGCACCTTGCTCCCCTCCCAACAATGAGCAAGTACGTCCCCCTCTTTTACACCGTCTGTGAAGCGAGAAAAATGAACTATCAAAATAAATTTTTCTCACCCCGAATGCAACCTTCCTCTCCTAGCGGCTCCCCCCTATTTGGGAATTCCGCCAGACAACGATGTACACTGCTGTCCGATGCCCTGGCAGCCGCAGTTCTCTATTTCTCTACGCTCTGGTCTTCCGCTAGCCGCGTAACCACTGAAAGGATTGAAGTCATGTTCGCAGACAGTTCCCAATACGGTCCTACTTTGTTGCGCGCGGCACATAGGGGGGAAGTCACACCAAGGCGCATTTTGGAAATCGCTTACAGGCATTACTGAGCGAAGTCCTGCTAGCCCATATTTTCACTTTATCATTTATATCGCTGCGCCTCCTATGGCACAACACTCTGGCATTCGTCTCCGCTAGGGAGAAACGAAGAGTTCCCTGAATGGAAAGACAAATCTAGTTCCCCCTATACAGTTAGGGCAACGTCCCGACTTGCGCGGCGAACTGGGCTGTGGGCCGCACGAATGACGCGATCGAAAGCAGCGCATCCGACAGCATGCGACGCGGGAGTGGGGTGCATCGATAGCATCGACATCGCACTCGACGCGCGACCGAGGCGCTGGGCATCGCAAAGTCTGGAACGGCTGGGGCCTCACATGGTTAATTGTGCTTTTGCAGTTTTTCTGTAATCAGTTTCGAGCAATCAATAAAGTTCTCTTACTTTTCCTGTGGCTCTTGTTGTTGACGTTTTATGTCTAAAGAAGAAGTCTTCACTTGCAACACGAAGACGGCATTGATAAAGTTACAGATGTTGTCAAAATCGAATGGAATTTGTGGCCTTAAGGAGAACTGTCAGAAGTGATAGAGATAAGACGGTAGGTTTCTTTTGAAGTTTGTTAATCTCAAACGATTCAGCTGGAATGAGCTCGGAGCCTTCACTGAAGGAAAGAGGAAACAATCATAGATGGGTACGAAAAGCTGCTACACAGAGTATGTAATTATTTCGTCTTCTACAAGGAGAACGGAACTCTGTGCTGAGCTCGGAAAACCAAGTGAAATTCTTGAATTTCACTGAAGTATGTGTAGCGTTGTTTTCTGCGGACGCTGATGCTGGGCGTTTCAGTGTCAGGGGTCGGGCGGCGCCAGCCCATTCTCGAGCAATTGTGATCCCTGCGAGCATCTGCGATTGGTAGAAAAGAGACTGGCATTGCGCCAAAACCAGCCCTCCTCCACCTTTGTTAATCCAGCGTCTGCAGCGAAAAAGACCGCACAAAGGACTCAGAAATTTTTCGCGGTTGTCACATAAGCTGAGCAGGGCCCCCCGTGCTTTTTTAGTGCACCCTTCCAAAACACCGTAGCGAGGAGACTGCCCATGAAAAAGTGTGACCTGGGAGGGCCCGGTGCACAAATCGGTACTTTTATTCCAGCCCCTCCCCTGTCCTTCATACGAATCAGGTGTCGAGTTGCCGACCGCTAAGGGGAGTAGGCTCGTTTGGCCAGAGCGTGAGCCGCTCGGTATTCCACCGGATGGCGGAAGTGGTAAGTGTTAGGCCATTTGTCACTACGCCACCTCCGCCTCAGAAAATATACATGATTTGTAAAAATAGAAAAATTCAGAGCTTTCAATCATAAAATCCGAGACAAAAATTTGTGACCATACCTATTCACCTCGAAAATTCGCATTATTGGCGTTCCTTTGATGAGAAGCTCCTTTGGTACGTGATTCCTGAAATGTAGGTTATTCGACAAAGAGGTAAACATCTCAACGGCTACTTTAATTGTTGTTTAGGAAATCAAACCATAGCCGGGAGACTTACCTGGACAGTGTGTAACTTGTGCTTGTAGCTGAAGTGGTTCAGACGAAAACGGGTAGATTTGGGGCGCGTCGAGCGTGCTTGTGCGCTCCTTCTGACCCGAACGTTTTCGTCTAGCATCGTTTGGAGGATCCCACCGGAGAAAGAGTCGTATCTAGCTTTGATAGAAGATTTCCCGAATCGTGATAGCTCTTTTCCCAACAGTTGACTTGTTCCACTATCCCAGTGTGCACTATCACCCTCTTTGACCGCAGAACTATTTCGGTGGATAAGTTTTGCCGTTGATCAATTCCTTTTTTGGGATGCTGCTCGTATTCTACTATGCTCCGAATCCCTGAGATGCGGTAGGCGTGCTGCCCACCAAATAGGGGTGTGGCGGCGCCCGCGCCCCTGGTGAGATGTTTCCATTTTAGGACAGTTGTAATTATATGTCTTCGGCCAACACAAGCCAAGATAACAATTATCTAAAATTGGTATCCCACGAATAATCCTTTTCACATCATCTGCAAATGAAGTACGCGGCCACGCCTACCGCGTCTCAAGGATGTGGGGTGTACCATTCAGAATTCTAATGGCTCACTGAATGCGATGTGGCATATGTATGCAATGTCTTGCGCGTGCCATTTGATGGACATGTCGGTGTTCATTCGCTTCCAGACAAATCTGGCTGCGACATACCCTCTCCGAGAGGTAGGAGGCTTCGTGTAAAGGTGCCACTTACCAATACACCACGTTCGCTTGACCAATTCTATACAACTGCTAGTTCCCGTAATCAGAATGATTAGTTTGTAGCTGACGACCTCCTCAGCTCGACGCAGCTTTTGAAAGAAAAGAATTGAATTTTTTTTCTGGGGAAGTTGAGGAGCTGGAAAGATTCGGGATCTCAGTAGGTAAGAAGGCCACAGGGTACAGCATGGGGATGTGTCAAATGGCGGTGTGGGTACGACCCCCCCCTCGAAGAGGGTCCAGATACGACCCCCCCTCCTGCTCTAACTGACAACCAGATGCATGTTCACCACAAATGGCTTCCTGAAATGGAATCTGGATTCTCGAAAGGCGCACTCTGCTCTAAAATACAGGAAATAAAAGGCTGTTTCAGCCTCATGCAATATGAGGCTGAACAACAGCCTCGCATTACCTACAATTTTGTCTTAGGATTCAAAATAAAACTCCTCGTTCGATAACTATGTATGACATGCAACTTGTAAAAGAAACACAATTGAAATAGCGGCTAATGGTGATCATTGATAGGCTGAATTGGTGAAAAAATAGCCCCAAGGTGAGCGTGTCAGGGCCCAGATGTGCATTCAATGAATGGTGACGGGGAAATAATGAAAACATGCACGACACAACAAAGCGAAACATGGAAAATACAAAAAATGCAGAGCTAAATGAAAAAAGGATAACCAGGCCGGCAGTAAATCGTTCCATACTTGGCTATTATCGATCAGGCTGCAGGGCGCAAGGCTGCGACCGCTTTCTTTGGAAAAACGTCATTGGAGCGCGGTTGTTGGACTTGCCAACGTCCTGGGGTCGGGGGTTATATCTTTTTTAGGTGCGGAGCTTTTGAGGAATGGTGAGCAGCATGCAACGGCAAAGTTTCTACTGTTGTGTATTCTACCTAGTTGCAAACTGAACATCCCCCGTTGGTGAAATATTCCGGATGGGTTTTGGATAGGCTAGGGGTAAATCGCGAGCTGGTTTCCATGCTTCACGCGAGGATTGCTTCGTTCAAACGCAATTTCATCAGGATTAAAAACGTCCTGAAACCCCTCCATCTTTTCTCTTTCCAATAAGCTTTACAGTTTTTCTGAAGACCCACTAGTTCAGGAGATATTTTAGATGGGTTACCCTTGCGCTACCCCCTGGACCACCCGAAAAATTGACTCCTTATGTGCCATTGTGAGGATACACCTTTCAGTGTGCCTCCAAAATACATATTTCCCTTCAAATGAGTGGAAGAGGAGCTCGGCTATCACTAATCGGTTTGGTCCGCGCCGTGCATTAGGCTCCTACGGAGAGGTGGTGGAAAGGTGTAAATTCTAATTTCAGGTGCTTTTATCCATGCAAGCAGATGTTTGTTTAGGGTTTGTAAAGGACAACACGCACGAATCTGTTTGAGACGTATTATTTAGTCATCTACGTACTTACGAGTTCATGCTATAAACTGACACTTATTTATTTATTTATTCTTGCTATATTGCTAATAAATCTTTTATTATTTTGTATTCCTATTTACATCCGGGTCTTCTGAAGCTTTCCGTCCGTTCCATTACCCTTAGCAATGACACCTTTGTACTGTTTGATGCCTAGCGAGCCTACTTTTGCGATACTCCCCACGTCCCGCCCAAGTACGAACCCATTCTTGGGGATTTCCCATGAAAAGAGGGCTGTTAAACGTAGCATTTAAAGCTGTAAAGAATACACTCATAATAAACTTCATTTTTTTAAACATCTTGACTTCCATAGCTCCACTCCCACTATCAACTGAAATGTCGAAGCATTGCCCGGCTCTGAGTGACCCTTGAGATTACGACCCCCCCTCCAGCGGCCAAGTACGACCCCCCTATGGGTTTCGCACAACGATGCTGTACCCTGGAAGGCCATTCTAAACACCACTATGTTCCATCCTGTTCCATGACTCCTTAGCCTCAGAGAGCATTAGAAAAACGAGTGCAGCTCATTTTTGCCACGTTTCCCCTTTGAAATATCTTTATCGATGGAGAGATTTGAAAGGCTAATTACTATATTGACACTCGCGACCATTAGCTGCTCTGCTCAGCGCGAAATGCTAGCGATAGAATGACCGTGGATCGGATGGTGGAGCGAAAATCCTCATTTCCCCCCGCCCCCCATAAAGGAACACATTCCAGTATAATCCTTTATCCCTTTTGAAAGGCAGCAGCGAGAAACGAGTTTAAAGACAGCCCCCGCGCTCGAGTAGTCCATGGTCGTCCTTCCTTGTGCAGGTAGTTCAGCCCCCAAGCTAGATGCTGTCCCACTCTCGCAACTCCACAGTGAGCGAGAAGCGAGCTACAGCCGCTCAAAGTTCTAGTTCTAACGCCCGCTCAGTTGGACCGCCTCACTTGCTAGCTGCCCTCTGACGGAGAGCCGCTCAGTTGCTCTTTGTTGGGACGGCGGGCAATACTCGGGATTGCAAGTCATTTTTGCAGACCGCGATGGTGCCCTTAGATAACTCTGCTCTCCTTTATCACATTTCATTCATTGAGAGCACATACAGTCAAATGCAACCATCTCGTAAGGTAAAACGCATAAAATCACGAGTGATGCAATTTTTGTGGTGCAAAAGCTCGACTAGCAACATGCACTAAAAGCCGCTCGCTACCGTAACCCAAATTCGGACGCCGTGTCTTTGAAAGTTTTTTTTTGCCTTTCAGGAGTTTTTCTTCCGAGTTTTTATTGTTTTTCGTATTCTTTTCATTGCATTGGATGATATCCACTACTGAGAGATGTGATAAAGAGATTTTCGAGCCAGGGGTTGCCCACGGATCGCAGGGCGGTGTAACTGTAAGGGAGCAATTTTGTGGTGTTCTTGAGGGCTCTTGTTGCTTTTTTCCCTCATTGAGGAATTACTTATCAGCTACTGTTTCATAATTGATCAGCAATTATCCTTGACACTTTTATCGCGGGAGCTGTCTTTAAAGACAGCTCCCGCGATAAAAGTGTCATGGATAGCTGCTTTTCTTTTTTTTTTTTGCTTTTTTGCTTTGCTTTTTTATGAAACAGTAGCTGATAAGTAATCCCCAGAGAAGAAAAAAGCAAGAAGAGTCCTCAAGAACGCCATAAACAAAATGGCTCTCTCAGTCACACCTCCCTGCGGTCTCTGTGCAACCCCTAGCTCACAAATCTCTCTATCACATCTCGCAGTAGTTGATATCATCCAGTGCAAAAAAAGAATACAAAAAACAACAAAAACGCAGAGGAAAAACTCTTGGAAGGAAAAAGAAATTTTAAAACTCGGTGTCCGAATTTGGGATTACGGTAGCGCACATTTTAGTGTAGTGAAGTGCGTCGAGCTTTTGCACCACGAAAATTGCGTCACTCGTGATTTTTACGCGTTTCACCTCGCGAAATGGGTTGAGTTGAATGTATATGCCCCCAATGAGTAAACTGTAATAAAGGAGAGCAGAATTATCCATGGGCACGAGCGCGGTCAGCAAAAAGGACATGCAATTCCGATTAATGCCCGCCGCCCCAACTAAGAACAACTGAGTGGCCTCCGTCGGAGGGCATCTAGCAAGTAAGGCGGTCCAACTGAGCAGGCGTTAGAACTAGAACTTACAGCGGCTGTAGCTCGCTTCTCGCTCGCTGTGGAGACGAATAGAGTGGGACAGTCTCTAGCTTGGGGGCTGTACTACTTGCACAAGGAAGGACGACCATGTACTACTCGAGCGCGGGGGCTGTCTTTAGCAGCCAGACTTCGCGACGGCAGCGCCTCGGTAGCGTCTGCGGCACGACCGATGCGCATGCTTTTTACTGCATCGATCGTGACCGAAGCGTTGCCGTCGCGAAGTCTGAATCTTGCCTAATTTTATGATCACAACTGAGCTTCATCAACCCGCATTTTCGAAAATCATCAACGTTATCGATGGGGTGTACACTTGGGAATTTTTCGGTTTTCAAGAAACTTACAATGAATTTTTGACTTTGTGGGATAGTGATTTAGATACTGTTGATATCGTCGCATTCAGTCGGGATGGTGTCAAGAGGCACCGGATGGACTCAACCGCAGCGTTTGGTTCCCTCCTATCCGATGGCTAACCAACTACTATTGGTGGAAAAAGGCAGTCGAGCCCATTTCGCTCCTCCTCGTGCCCATGGACAATTCTGCTCTCATGGTGCTCTGACTAACTGCGACGCCATCATCTATGCGTGAAAATAGGAGCGAGTGCAGTCGCTCCCACTGCTCACAAAACTGCGCAGTTCCCCGTTCAACTTACACCTCAGATTGCGGCGGAGCGTCTACGGACTTGACCGGGAGTGCGGTAGGTGTAGCTAATTGCCAGTTCTTAAAGGGGATGGTTGAGGGTGCATTGTCGTTTTTTTGCGCCCAATCTCCCCGTACCGGCAACACCCACCGCCCTGCGTTTCACCAATATTCTTGGAGTCCACTCGAAGTCCCCTCAGTGCCGAGCTATTGACTTTATGCATACTTCCTACATACAGTCGTCATGCGGGCACTTGATTAGGCGGCAAGGGTCGCGACGCGGCTGCGGCGTGTCACGAGCGCGGCGATCAGCTGTTTCCAGCCTATTTTAGCCATTTTCTCCCTAATTTACACTGTTTTGGCTGCTTTTCTCACGATTAGTTGTTCCTTGTCTTCACAAGGTAAATTATGATTGAGATTCCTCTGATTTTTGCGTACAATTAAACAGTTAAGCAGACAATTGAACAAATACCTGAAAAAAATCGCAAAAACACTCCCCCCCCCCATCCTTAATGGGCTTCATAAAAAACAGCTCACCTCGAAAAAATAGAAATCACAGTGAAAATTAGGGAGAAAATGGCCAAATTAGGCCGGAAACAGCTGATCGCCGCGGTCGTGACGCGCGCAGCCGCGTCGCGACCCATTGGCCGCCTAATCAAGTGCCCAGGTGACGACCTTACTTCTCCACACTCCCTCTTACGTCGCATACCTATACCTGTGAAACGAAACAACAGCGACGAACTCACGCTAGCTCTCTTCCGAATTGTACCAGTCGACAGTGTTCATCAAATACCACATGATATGGGAGAGCTGTGCCAAATTCCATTGCGTTCATGTGCAATGTCTGGCCAGTGAAATCTAAATTTCTTCAATCAGTCGTGATCCATGGAGTGTAATTCTTGGTCACGAACCTAATGAAGGAATACCGACTGATGTAACGTCACTTGGACCATTTCCTTGATCAAGTGTCTGTAACCTCAAAGTCTGTTGCACGAACTTATC